TACCTTAATGGCATTGGGTCTTGAAGATAATAAACTTGGATCAGAAGGTAGAAAAGCATTAGCTAATGCTCTTCCACCTTCTGATCCAAGATTATTATTAAAAAACCAACTCCGTTAAGGGAGTGTTCTTGCAAAGAGCATCAGCTAATGCTTTTCTGATATCTGATCCAAGATTATTCGAAGAAAGATACAACACTGTTAAGGTAATGTTCTTGCAAAGAGCATCAGCTAATGCTTTTCTGGCATCTGATCCAAGATTATTAGATTGAAGAACCAACTCCATTAAAGTAATGATATTGCAAAGATCATCAGCTAATGCTTTTCCTCCTTCTGATCCAAGATTATTCAATTGAAGTTCCAATGATGTTAAGGTAGTGTTTATACAAAGAGCATTAGCTAATGCTTTTCCACCTTCTGATCTGAGATTATTATTGTAAAGATTTAACATCACTAAGGTAGTGTTCTTGCAAAGAGCATCAGCTAATGCTTTTCTGACATCTGATCCAACTCTGTTAAGGTAGTGTTTTTGCAAAGTGCCATGATTAACTTGTTTATTTTTTCGGATCTATGACAATTAGAATCAAGATCCCAAGATGAAGCATTCTCTTTGTCGTTATTAGTATGCTAACTATTTTTGAGGATTTCTCATAAAGTTCTAATGCTTTGAGAAATTTGCCTTGGCTAAAAGATTTGCATGCTTCTTTTCTCCTATCCTCAATATTACAATCTTGTGTTGAAGTACTGCATTAGACGAAGATAAAAGGCTTGAGCTTGCTATATCAGACAAAGATGAATCAGGTAAATAAAGTGGAGCTAATGTTGTAATCTGAAGTGAGTTTACATCTCGATTTAAGAAAAGGAATAGGATTAGCCGAAGTTCCTTAGAAATAATTTGATTTAAAAAATTAACAGGATTAAATTTTTTTAAAGTTTCGTTGAGGTTCATAATTTATAATTGATTGTTTATTAGTTACTTGTTATTATCAACGAATTGTTTTAAAATATCGAAAACTTCTTTTGTTTTTGGACGATTAGCAGAGTCGCAATCTCATCGTTTATAAAGGTCAATATATTGAGGTAGTGCACCTTCTACAGGCTTTTCTCTATTTCCTTGTGCTATGTGAAAAACAAGTGAATATTCTGATTCAAAGGTTTGGTATGGTGGTCTTCCACTTGAAATTTCACAGAGAATTACACCAAACCTATAGACGTCGATTTCTTATCGTGCTTATATTAGTGATTAATAATATAATGAGGTTGATATATGCTGGCATTCCGTGAACCACCAAGTTTGAATTCATAGACGTCAGTTTATTTGTTTTGATAGACCAAAATCCGCAATTTTTGGTTGTTTTCAATGGATTAAAATATTCTTTGAATGCTATAAAATATAATTAAAACTTGAAAATATATAAAAATAATATCTCTATGAATAATATTATTTTCATGCAAGAATAAAATTTCAAGTGCAATTTCCTTAGCGATAAGTAGCTTGTCTGTCCACTGCAATTTTGCAAAATTTGCTTTTGTAAATTTCTGTTGTTAGTATATTGTAAAACTATAATTTCCACTAATGTCTAATTAATTATAATAAATATTTTTAATAGTTTTTCACAAACATTAAGAACTTTTAAATTGTATATATACCTTTCATTACTCTGTAGAACTTTAATAATATTTGGATGTTAAGTTTTTATATCATAGTCATAGAAATTTAGAAATTTAGTTTTACTTTAGGAAATAATACTGAGTAGTAATGCAAAGTAGTAATATAATAAGTACTTTTTTAATAAATCTTTAATAATTTCTACATTTATTTTATGCCAATTTTAGGACATTTGAGAGCAACTATTAAATTACAATCTTTCTATTACATATGAGAAATAGGTTATCTTCAGTATACTATATACAATAATCGTAATTCATGTAATGATTATGATTTGTGCAATAATCATGAATCATGCAATGATCATGATTTGTATAATGATATAATATGTAACAATCAAACAATCATGACAATCGTGATAAACATGAACTATAACCCAACTATGGTATTTAAGCATAACTACAGGTAAATAAATTAAAAGTTTGAATTAGAAATGTAATTATAACAGATTAATAAAAAGCAATATATAGAGATACAAGTATAAAGATACTTACCTTTTGCTATATCTCTTAATACGTTAAGCAGGCAAATTTGCCTGCAAAATTCAATTTTAATGTAATTGCCAAAAAATGAGGTGGGAGAGGTCCCCCTAAGAGATACCTCATTCAATTTGGCTAGACTTGAGGAACATATTGGCAAAATGCCGATTGTATAAATTATGTCATGAATGATCTGCACTAACCAGAAAATGTGCTAATCAGGTTTTGCTGCGCCACACATTCGTTTAAAAATTGGTTAATAAATTTTAGCGACTTTTATTTTGGATATTAATTGATCAAACTTATATTCAAGCGTAAAAATTGGCTTACTCCATAAGTTCTTTTTAAAAGAATGACTTCCACTACGGGGATATTTTTTTTTCTTAAAAAAAAAAACTTCCGATTTGTTTTTTTTTACCTGCAAATAATTTGCAATCGTTTAAAGAATGCAACTTTAAATTTTGTGTCAAAGATATTTTTATCACAAACGAAACTTCATAATTCAAAATAAATAAAATAACTTTAGCCAAATCGTTTAATATTTAAAATTAGAAGGATAGTATTTTTGGCATTAAAATTAGAGGATAGTATTTCTGGCATTTTCTTAAATAAAAAATAAAAAAGGTAAAACCTATTAACTAATTATTGGTTGTTAGTTTAAATTTTGATTCAAGCTTAAGAAATTTTTATTAATTAGTTTATGATGATGCAAGAAAATGAAGAACTACCCGCTGAGTTGGTAGACCTTTATGAGGTTTCATTTATTTCACAAACGCTTGAAGATCTTTTAGCTGAAGAGATGTTTGAAGACAATGATTATGATAGCGATGGTGATAATACAGAATTGAGTAATGATACAAGTGTTATTAATGAAGAACAAATTGAATCGAATATTACAGCATCACTACAAAACAAAGAAAAAACTAGAGGAGAAAAAAAAGGTCATAGAAGTAAAAATAAAGAAAATAATGCAGGTTCAGAAAAAAAACTAAAGTAATTATACAATTACCTGTTCCTCCAGATTTTAATAATTTAGAACATAGTGTGCCGTTTCATTCAAGTTTTGTTAGATTGCCATCAGCATTACCTGACAATAATATTAATCCGTATGGACTAATTAGATTATTTTTTTCACAATCTATTCTTATTAAAATTTTACCAAACACTAATGAATATGCAAAGTCAAAAAATGCTGGCATAAATGGACGAGTTTGGTTACCTTTAACATTAGCTGAATTAAAAATTTGGTTAGGAATTGTGATATACATGGGTTTAATTAAGTTGCCACAAATAACAGATTATTGGTCAGTAGATCCTAAATATCCTCGGCATGATATTATTCAAACAATGTCAATGATACGTTTTCAACAAATAAAACGGTACTTACATATTTCAGATATTAATTCTGAAAAACTTCATTGGTTTGATAAGGTTGAACCTCTTATATCACATGTTCGAAATATTAGCAAACAAATGTATGTTCCAGGTTCAAATGTAGCGATTGATGAAATGATGGTACGATTTTCAGGACGTAGTAAACATACATTTTGGATGAAAAATAAACCTATATCTGAAGGTTACAAGATTATATCATTATGTGAAAAAGTCTATACTTACACATTTGTACTAGAATCACGTGTTGAAAATAATAATGAAATTCCAAGTATTTCTGGTCTTAACAAAACAGGATCTCTAGTTTCATATCTTTTTATGCAATTAGCAAATAGTCGGGCATATAATATTTATATGGACAATTATTTTGCAAGTGTGCCTCTTTTTAATTATTTACAAATAAAAGGTTATGGTGCTTGTGGCACAGTACGAACAAATTCTGCAATGTTTCCTAAGGAATTGAAAGTTGAAAAATCTATACGTTTGAATTGGGATACTTTAGCTGGAGTAGTAGTAAATAATGTTTTGGTAATTTTTTGGATGGATAATAGTCCTATCCATATGCTCTCAACAATTCATGGTATTAAAGGTAATGAGTGGAAAGTTTTAAGTTCAAGACGAAGGCCATGAGAAACAAGCTCAAATGAAACAATGTACGAAAAGTTTTTGGTGATGAAATCTGAAAAGAAATTTTAATTCTGAAAGCTATTTATGACTATAATCATTTTATGAGTGGAGTTGATATTGCTGATCAATATCGATCTTATTACAATTGTCAGCTTACTGCTTCACGTACTTGGATGCCATTATTATTTTGGCTAATAGATACAGCCATAGTAAATTCATATATTATCTATCGGAAAAATGGTAAATTGTTTAGCTTATTTTATCCAAGCTTTAACATTAGTATTATTTTATATACTAATTAATAAGCTTTATTCCTTTTAGATGGAGTTCTTAAGCATCGACAATTTAGGTTGCAACTAGCATGAGATTTTATTGATGATGCATTAAATAATAATAAAAAAATAAATAAGCAATGTTTAAATAAAAACTCAACCTTAATTGTAGGCAAAAATTTTAAACTTCCAGTTATTTGTCTTTCTGGGGTAGATCATTATCCAGAATGGAGAATGGACCATGTAGTATGTGTTTGGTGCAGATGGGAAGCAAAAAATAGTAGTAATAACCAAAATATTAAAATAAATAAAAAAAATCTGCTCCAAAGCCAGATTTGGTGTAGCAAATGTAATGTTGCACTTTGTTGTGACATATCCCGTCCTTTATGCTTTAAAAAATATCATATATATATTGAAAAATAAGTCAATATTTTATATAGTATTGGTGAACAATAATAGGGCTAATATTTGTATTTTACATTTATTATTTGTATTTTACATTTATTATTTGTATTTTGCATTTGATAGTCGTATGTATGTATATGCGCATATATATATACAGTGGCCTACCATATGTTTGTGGACACTTTTTAAAATTTTATATAAAGCCAAATAAATAAAATATTAAG